TCTATAGGATATATCATGGAGAGTGCTCTGAGGAATTGTTCGTACTAATACCGACCGCAATACGCAAATACTGTGCGCTTTTCGAGATACTTTTGCCTCGCACAACCAATCTGTGGAACGGGTTATCGTCCGCGCTGTTTCCGGACCGATACGACCTTCAAATCTTTAAGAAAAGAGCGTACTCCTCCCTAAAGCCAGCAACGTGTTTGTGCCTGAGTTGTAGATGTTCATGGGCGGCGATGGTTACTTTCCATCAGGTGACCCGTCTGCTCGTCTGCTCCCTCTAACATAAATTTAAAAAAAAAGCAAATTCAATTTATTTGCAAACACCACATTATTGGTGTACAAATATTTGTCATTAAAATGTTACATTTATTCCAATAACAATTTTAAATACAAATTTTCAGAAGAATAAGATATAATACGATTATTTAATTACATTATCAGTCATCTAAATGTATTAATAAATATATGTCACAAACCGTGAATTACATAAATTACCTATTTTATTTGACATTAATGTCTGTTAAATATTCTTTTACAGAGTAGTAGCCTTTTTCAATCAGAATATTACGAAGATTAGTTTTGAAGCTCCGTGGGTTCAGTGAATCTTTTATCATCATCATCATCATCATCAACAGCCCATAATAGTCCACTGCTGGACATAGGCCTCTCCTTAGAAAGGAGGTTTTGGCCTACTATACCACGCTGGCCAGACGGGTTTGTTTCAAGTTTCAAGGTTTGTTTCAAGTTTTCCTCCTTTTTGCAGTGCTGTTGTCCTGTGCAGAATCTTTTATGCATGCCAGTAATTTATTATAAACCTTGACATACAGAATTCTAGACTTCCATACAGAATCACCGACTAATATATTAATAGCCCTTAAAAGAAAAAGTTCTTTTTTTTTTCACTAAAAGCATTGACAAAATAAAATAACATTAAATATTTAATATGTCATCTCATTTAAATCAATTCATATTATTGTCCTTTAAACATAAATGTACCGGAAATAAAACGCGAATATTTTTGGCAACCGGAAATCTATCATTGCTAGGTTAAACGATGGCCGTGGTACCCCTCCGTAGTAAGCCTCCAAAGGACATTGCATAACGATATGTTACCTAAAATGTATTATTAAATATAAACTAGTTATTCTTGGCTACTACTTGCCAAAGTTATTTTAAAACTAGTTTTCGCACTTGGTTCTACTTGGGTTTTGGTCGTTTTGTCTAATATTCCGCAATAAAAGTAGCCTCTGCGATATTCCCAACGTGAATATGGCAGGCATTCTGTCGTAATTAAGTAAATCTTAGCTTTTAACCCCCTCTTAATGGAGATTTTAACCTACTTTACCTACCTCCAACACAGAACATATTATTATTCCATAAACGAATATTTCAATGACCAAATTTAATACTATTGACATTCATTAAATTATTATTTTTTCACTTTAAATTTTAATTATCTTTTATTATTATTACTTAATTTGACCTGAACTGATGATGACTTTAAATTATATTTACTTATATGGATTGATGACTTTGTTTACGTAAAATGATGATGCTTTATTTAAACAATCCTCTTAGAATTTTTAAAGAATGTACCTAATATCAATGTTGTATTATAATATTGATATACAAACATATATCATTGCCCAATATTTTGTATGCCTTTCGGCGGGACATAGCTTGTATATAATAAAATTGTCAGCTTAACCACCTATAATAATAATAATAATAATAATATTGTACCACATTCACACAACGCCATCTAGTCCCAAACTAAGCAGAGCTTGTACTATGGGTACTAGATAACTGATATAAATACATATATACTTTTTTTTTTGTAAATACATACTTATTATACATAGAAACACCCAGACCAAATCAAACATTAAATGTTCATGCACACAAATGTTTGACTTGAGCGGGAATCGAACCCGCGACCTTTGGAATAGCAGTCCGTTACACAAACCACTACGCCATTCGGTCGTCAAAACAACCTATGTATCACAAAATGGAATAAATAAATGAAAAAATGAAAATGAGAACTCAGTAATTCATGAACCGATCTGGCAATTTCTTTTACATTTGAAAGTTTAAAAATCGGGGTATCTTCGTTAGATTTCACTGAAGTATAATCCTAGTCAGGTCAGTCTATGGATGGGTGACCATTCTTAACACATTGAGACCCCCTCGGGGAGCACGTTGAGGCGTCGGTCTCGGTTACCATACGAACATCTATGTCAATCATTACCGATAGTTGAAGCCCTAAAAAGGCCGACAAAAGTCTATCTACAGAATTTCGATAGCGCCTAGTAGGTACTTAGGTTGTGTAGGACTAGTTGTTGTAAACTTAAAGCCGACCCAACCTAGTTTGGGTAAAAAAGCCTCGGAGGAAGATATGGTGGACTCGCATCCATATCAAATTAACTCTAAAAGGGTTACAACCATTATTTGGTGGATTTCTTCTGGTATGCTAGCACGGGTCACGTAAGGACTGGACAACGGGACACATGCTACTAAGAGTCACAAGTCTTACTCCTTTTCTAGACGTATTCTCTTTCACGCAGTCCACCCATCTTTTGTTTGGTCGTCCTTTACTCTTACATCCATCAGATTCAATATATAAAATCTTTTCATCACATTTTGATCATCTATACGCCTCACAAGTCCATACAAGGATAAATTCTTGCTTCTCAACTTTTCATCCACTGGTGCAATTTTTGGGCTTCCCCTAATGTATGTATTCCATATTTATATGTATTGCATGTAGTACTTATCTTTGCCCGTGGCTTTGTCTGCTGTATGTCGGTTATCGCGGTAAAAGAAGCCTACGTTACTCGCTGATAGCTTTAGGCTTAAATAGGCTGTTGATGACGTAGAATGAGATACTGAGACCTATTTCTTAGCCTTTCATGGTTTCACCGATTGGGTGCCGGGTCACGGGGGCTTGATAAATTTGAAAATTATTGTCTAGTAAAAACAATGCGTTTCCTTTTTCTTATATTTTTTATCATGCGTTCGAGCAACGCGAAATGTTATTCTTTAAATGTTCTAGAATCTATTGAAGGTTAATTTCACATGGGCGTATAAAATTTATTACAAAAACTTCGACACAATAATTGTGAAACGCAAAAACAACTCTTTCACCTTGAAAATTGAGTTTATTATGTAGTGTAATTTTTTTCTATATGATTCTATCCCTAGGCTTGTTGATTTAATGATTAGTGATCCATTGTGGATCACTGCGTATTATAGATAAATTACACCCAGACACAGAACAAATGATCGTGCTCGTCACACTATTATTTGTCCTGAATGGGCTTCGAACCCCCAAATCAGTCGGGGCATCAGAGCACACCTGTGTCCCAGGCTATTCCCCCGGGTACCCAGAGACGACGTTTTTAATCGGTTCTAGTGCCACAAAATCACCCGTCCGGTCGTTCGGTGGTTGGTATCAGATTGGATTTCTGCACAAAAGACAGAAAATAACGTGGGTGTCGAACCTACAACCACTGGCTTATCAGTCATGGTCACTACCATCTAGACGAAAAGGACCGTTTCAATAATTATACCGACGTCAGTTATTCACGAAGGTACTCAGGTCACGTTTAATAACTGTTATTACATTGTAATACAATTATTTTAATAATTATTATACAGTAATAGCAAGTTATGTCACGTTAAGAACACATTTTCCGGTAAAACAATTCAGACGAGCAAGGTTACATACTTAAGTGTAAGATAAAGTACCAGATGAAGCTATACCATAAAATATATTATACTGGCTTTTATACGCGGGTTCGATTGCTGTAGAATAGAGCATGTTAGTTTATTAAAGTACTTGCAAAAAATCATGAATGTAATTGTTTAATAGTTTGGCTATCAAATTCAATTTTATTAATTAGTAACTTTTAAGTAACTCTGATCAAAGTGACACCACGGCGGAATTTTAACGGAAAATCCCCCCCCCCCCCCCCCCCGTGATATAACTTATTATTAATTACATATTTGAAACCCTAGGGTGTAATTTTTTTCTTGAAATTTATCATATTAGATAAAGTTCTGCAACGAAAAGCAATTGGGTACGAATTTTAAGAGGTGTATCCTCAACTGTGCTGGTGTGCTTATTTCTTGCCATCAGATAAGGCACGACTGCTTTTGAAATGAAACATCTAATGATACTCCGTTCAGACCGGTTGTTGGCAAGGCCACGCGTCACCACCTCATGCATCGCCGCGGCATGCGTCGCTACGCATATCATAGTATAATTATGTAACATGTGGTGTTGTGATGTGTACAACGCTTTCAATTTTCTACAAAATAATTTAGATGTTTCATATCATCCCGCGACGTCTCAATTTTTTTCTCCTTTGTTTTTTTTATATTAGAGGGGGCAGACGAGCAGACGGGTCACCTGAAGGAAAGTGACCATCGCCGCCCATGAATGTCTGCAACTCACTTTTATAATACGGATAATATATTGCAGCTATACTATTACACGTAGTGGAAACTGAACCTTATCCAATGTTTACATACAAAGTAAAAGGCATGACATAATAAACTCATACTAATCTCACAAAACTGAAGAGTATGTTTGTTTGTTCGTGCTTACATCAGGAACTTATGGTTCAAAATGAAAAAATATTTTATTGTTGGATGTCCCATTTATGAAGAAGACTATAAACCATCACGCTACCACCAATAGGAACCGAGCATTAATGAATCATCAATAATATATGTAAAAATGAATTTATGTATTTTAGTTATATCTAATACAGGTTTATCTCTTATTAACCTGAAGGTCGACTGGGAGAGAATGCCTCGTGGCATTAAGTACGCCTATGTAAAATATGTCCATAAAATTTGAATAAATAAAATGCGGTAAAAAAGGGGCAAATTTATTCCTTTTGAGGACCGCAGATGATGTCTTATTGATCAGTTAGTTACGAATCATAATCACTGCACAAATATTTAATGTTTATTTTCAATTGTTCCAGGTCTCTTTATGCTGTTGATGCTTGGGTTCTTCGCTCTAGCATCTGGTTGCTTCATTCTCTTCTTGAAACCATACGATTACTTCTTCTCAATGGTAAGATCTCTTCTTATTCAATCTTAATCCTGCTACAGAGCAATTTGTAATAAGGTTCTGATCGATCACAGATGGCTTAGTGGTTTAAGCGATCACCTCGCTGCTTACTAATGCGCTGAGTGTTGTGGGTTCAATCCCCACCTAGCATAACGCTTTGAGTGATCTACAAATTGTTGTTCTGAGTCTGGGTGTTCTTCGTGTCCGTTTTATGTATGTTTCTAAAGTCCCTCACGACGCAGGATATGTTACAAGGCGGCAGTTGTCTTTAAAGAAAGAACAAAAGAAAGAAAATATGATTAAAAATATTACTGAGAGAACGCCAATAAAAATCACGTTTTTAATTTATGGATTACTAACTGTACACCAATACCAAAGAAAAAACAAAAAAAACATTTAAATAATGTTTTTTTTGGGCAAGAAAAACTTTGGTAGGGTGGTGTGTAAGGACGCCTACCAAAGTTTTATCACAACCTGATTAATAGTTTCGGAACGCATAGAGGACGAATATACAATCATTGATTTTAATTTATTTATATAGGTAGATAGATTAACAATGGCAATTTGTCTGGCCAGCGTGGTATAGTAAGCCAAAATCTCCTTTCTAAGCCGAGGCCAACGTCCAACAGTGGACTTCCAAAGACTGTTGATGAAAGATGATGATGATGAGATTTACTGAGTGGTTACTTCTTCTTTTTTCCAGAAATCAGTTTTATCAGACGGTGGAGAAATATTTGAAATGTGGCGAAAGCCTGAAGTGGAACTCTACCTCAAGGTCTACCTGTTCAACGTCACAAATGCTGAGGAATACATGGCGGGTATTGACGACAAAGTGAAAGTGAAGGAAGTTGGACCCTTTGTATATAGGTTTGTGTAATATTTTACATCTTTTAACCTGTAAAATCCAATTAAAAATTAATATACATCCCTGACACCAGTATCAACCCAAGGTTTGGCTGCATCAGGTCTAAGTTAGGTTAAAAGAAGGCCATTGGTCGTAATAAAAGTTCGATCATGATTCTCACAACTGTCATAAAAAATATTTTCGTAGTAAAAAATTAACGTATTAGGTACTAAGACTAGGTGATTACCGATTCAATTTACGGTCACAATAAGATACGAGTATAATCACGTTACAGTCAACGTCGGATGTTAATAATTTACTCCGAAAATACCTTTTATGACAGTTGTGAGATCAAGAGTTGATCGGAACTGAATTATAACCGAACTTTTATAACGAGAATTGGCGCAAAAAACAGCTAATAAACGCTACGTGACGTCGGAAAACTAAAGAACTATGTTTAAACCTGGTGGCGTGGTGACGGACCTGTTGGTCTAGTGGTTAGTGATATTGACTGCCAAGTCAGAGGTCGTGGGTTCGATTCCCACCCAGGACAAAAATAATTGTATCATGATCGCGATCATTTGTTCTGTATCTGGATGTAATTTATCTATAAATATGGATAAAATATAAATCTATTAATTTTCTATTTATTTATCTATAATATGTATGAATTTAGAAATATAACCCTAAGTATGTTTATAAGCAGGCTGGTTACCATGGTACTGGTTCTGCCTAGTTTGGGATCAGGCGACCGTATGTGAGATGTGTGAGGGGGGTAACTGTCTTGCCATCTTCTAAATATCTTTCTCTATCCTCAGGGAGCATTTGGAACACGAAGTGCAGAGGTTTAACGAGAATGGAACCGTATCTGTGATTCCACGTCATCCCCTGAGCTGGGTGGAGGAGCTCTCAGAAGGGAATAAAGAAGATGATACGTTGTTCTTAGTCAACATTGCTTTGCTGGTAAGTTCTGGTTTTTTTTTATATACAGAGTGTTTTTTTTCTGCTCTACGTCTGAATTTTCATTTCTTAACACTTAATTCACACTCAATTCACACTTAAGGTTTGCACATAGACAGATAATGAATAATAACATAACCTTTTGAAAAAGCATCACCGATATCATTGATAAACTGTATTCTTTATTCCTTAATTTTCCACCCATAGGGATGGTATTTTCTTTTCAAATTTGAATTGGACGAAATGAGAAAATATCTACCCAAATAAAAAATAATTTTCCAAATCGTTTAATTAATGACGGTGTTCAGAAGCGACAAACACAAATATTTGCCCATTAGTCTACTGGTTAGCGAGCCTGACTGCTAAGACATCGGTTGTGGGTTTGATTCATACCAAGCACAAATAGTTTTGTGATGAGCACGATCATTTTTTTCCATCTGGGTGTAATTTATCTATAAATAACTGTACCCTGCCACGCTTCGCTGTAATTTCATTTTAGTCGGGGTGTCAGAGGTTTTTATTTCGATTCTTTGAAGCTCTGACACTGGGTATTGATGAGAAATAAGGACCAACACTAACGCTAAAAATAAATAGATAAAAACAATATTAGAAAAATTTGTCAAAATTTGAGCCTAATTGGTGCAGAACTTTTGGAGTTTTTGAAGCGTACACAAATGAAGTTAACATTTATATATACGAATATATAGAAAGAAAGAAAGAAAGAAAACATTTTATTTCTAAGATACACGACAAACAATTTATATGATAATAGACAGAAATAAATTAAAAAATACTTATGGCAACCCTGTGCTAAAAAACATGCTGTTTCGAATGTGTCATGTCACATGACACGCACAATGCGGCAACACTGGCTACGTGGCATTCACCACAGCAGCACACGCACAGCCACACTGGCGATCACATGTCAAATGTGTGACTAGGCAAAGCAGCCACACTTGCGTCGTGAAGATATATACCATGTGTTTAGAAATATATAAGTATGTTTATCAGCAGTCTAGTTACCATAGTACAGGCTCTACGTAGGTTAGGATCAGACAGCCTTGTGTGAGATGTATAAGGTTATTATTATTGCAAATATTCTCTCGTATATACCAGTATGCCACCGGCGGAGATCAGACACAAAGTGTCTCTTCATCATACGTTGCAAATCGTATAGGTCACGTCATAATTAATTCAGTTACATTTAATTAGAGTGCTAATTAGTACTAGTACAATTGTCACAATGATTAAGATAATTATATATGCGGGAGAATTTAATTACTTGTTTCTATTATATTACACAATAGTAAAGATAAACTTTTGACACAAAGCCAGATAAAATCTAGAAATAGCATCATTAAAAAACCCCCGATACAAAACAAAACTTTAAAAAACAACAACTGCCCATTGAGAATAAGCCCAAACATGGTATATATGCTGTAATTTTCTGGGGAGCTGGCTATTCCACAGACTACTTGATGCAGCAGCAAATTCCAAATTTCAGATCAATTGGCTGAGCTTGGCTAAGTGAGCTTATGGTCTTTAAAATTTATAGCAAAGAACCACCTCGATAACATTTCGAACAAAAAAATACGCATCGAAATTGGTATATCCGTTCGGGAGCTATGATGCTACAGACAGACAAACTTATAACTAATGTCAAAAAAACTTCTGTCGCTGGTTAAAAAGGATCTGCACTATACAATATGTATTTTTTATGGTATACAACCGAGCTGACAAGTCTACTGCCGCCCATGATACCTGTACCTCAAGTTACGTAAGTGTGTTGCCTTCTTTAAACGCCCCCCATTGACTGCCTCGGTGGTGCAGTAGTAGCGTATGCGTCTGCTGTGCTGAGGTCTCGGGTTCGATTCCCGGTTCGGTCTATATTTGGGTGTTTTCAAAAAAAAAAGTATATAAGTAGTCTATCAGTCAATCTAGCTTTCATTGTACAAACTCTACTTAGTTTGAAACTAGATGGCATTGTGTGTCAGGTGTCATCATCATCATCATTATAAGGAGGGTTGGCTACATTAACGCTATCCGCTCCGCTTATGCTGTCTCCACAGCCTCCCAAATCCTACCGAGTACTACAAACTTTAAAACGCTGCCAGAACACACGAATTGTGAAGTAACTATGTTCTAAGATTATAATATTAATATTATGGTAAAGCAGTTAAATTTTATACAAATTAACATTCATATCTAAAAATAAATTGTTGTGTCAACAATAAACTGCTTGCAAAATTAGGTGATTGACTGTTAAATAAAAAATATGTATGTGTAACGCCGGTAGAGCATTACCCCCTCTCTCTCCCCACTAATATATGGAGGGGGCACCCCCGGCACACAAAGGGCGTATCTCTTGAGCTGCAGTTGTCCACGACGGCGGTAGTCGCTTAGCATCAGGAACCATCATGTCATAGACCTATGACATTAAAACAAAAAAAAAATCTTTCCAACAAATATATCCTTTCGAATTGAGTACAGTACCTAAATTATCTTATGTATGTATTTAGTAATTTATTTATATGTTAATCAGCAGTCTTTAGTAGTCCACTTCTGGACATAGGCCTCTTCTTAGACAGGAAGTGTTGGCATACTATACCACAGACGGGTTGGTATAGAGTTTGTGTCTAGTTTTCCTTCTCTTTGCAGTGCTGTTGTCCTGCGTAGTTTGCTTCTTTAGTCGGCCCTTACGACGTATTCTTAATCCGTTACCACACGGAAGATTGCTGATTATCCGCAGTTGTTACCATAGTGCCGGCTCTGCCTAGTTTGGGATCAGACAGCCGTATGTGAGATGTGTAAGGTGTGTTATTATTATTATTTCGTAAAATGCATCGGAAGGGCTAGAATAGGCTAAGTAATATTCCCGCGAGGGGGCGGCGTCCGCGTGTGCCGGACGTCGCCTAAAGAGAGGAACATCTACATTGAGACGGAGCCCGCACCAGGAGCGGGCTGGCGCTAGGAGGGGTCCGGATGTCTTAACAACAGCTGTTCCCGGATCCCTCCTGTTACAGGCGCAGAGTGGCACACCGTGTGGTTTTAGTCGGTCCGAGTCCGACACACCACCCCGCCGCAAACCCCGGAGGGGTGATGGTCCGAGGGGATTTCCACACGTTAAAAAAAAAAAAAAAAAAAAAAAAGGCTAAGTAATATTCGCATACTTAAGTTATAACATTCATAGTATCGTTGCATATTTATGTAAAATACACACGGAACTTGCTGTCTTAAACAGCGTTAATGTATTCGCTGTTAACGGCAAAGGTCACAGTTCGATTTCCGTTTACTACAGTATATTTGTATTCAAGATTAATACTTCTATTTACTTTGGTTTTAGTCTGTTTAATAATATTAGTCATGTAAAAGTAGGTTTGTCTGTGTGAAAGTGAGGTTACTAGAGCCGAAATACCATTTCCCTCTAATTCTATGAGGATACTCCTAGTGCAGGGGGATGCACTCTTGACTCTTGAGATGCATGTATCCATTAGCGGCGGTAGTCACTTACCAACAGGTGACCTGTCTGTTCGTTTGTTACTAAATTAACTTTAAAAAATGTCTTCAAATTAAAAAAAACTTTTCTTTTCAGAGCATCGCCAATGTGGCTTCGAAAAAGAACCCCTTCACTCGCTTTGGGTTGAACAACGTGATCACCTTCACGAACTCGAAGCCATTTGTCAAGATGACAGCTAGAGAATTTATGATGGGATATAAGTCCGAGCTTATGACCCTGGGGAACACCTTCTTACCTGGATGGATCTACTTCGACAAACTGGGGCTCATTGACCGGGTAAGTCTACCTTTATTGTCGAAATGCATGGAAATTATATAACTTTTGTAAAATAAATTGTTTTGCTAGTAAATCATTCTAAAATTTATATCGCATAAGTATCGTACCCTCCACTAAAATCGAAATCCGTTCTACATACATTCGTAAGTGGAAAACTTTTAATCGCGTGTGTATTTCGAAGATACTCGGGACGCACTGTCATGGAAAGTCGCGTCAATCTTGTATTGACAATTGTAATCCTGATAGGTTGGATTCCTAGTAGCACGATCATTTGTTCTGGGTCTAGGTGTAATTTATCTATAACTAAATGTGTTTAGAAATATATAAGTATGTTTATCAGCAGTCTGGTTATAATAGTACCGGCTCTGACTAGTTCGGGATCATATCGCTGATAGATATTTCAAGTTATTATTATTCTTAAGTTGATTGAAAACTCTATTTAGTAACCTCAATTATTATTCCGTAGATGTATGACTTCGTTGGCGACTATGAGACAGTATTCACTGGTACTGATGACGTTCGCAAATCAGGACTCATTGACACCTACAGAGGATCGACAGACTTACCGCAATGGCATGGCAAGCACTGCTCGAATGTCCAGTACGCGTCTGATGGAACAAAGTTCGTTGGCGGAGCATCAAAGAATGAAAGCATTCTGTTTTACAGGAAAAGTTTATGCCGAGCTGCTCCTTTAGTAAGTTTATAATATAAATACAAGTTAATTCTTACCACCTTCTTAATAAAATTCCAGTTATAATCTCAATGCTGCGACTCTTACACAAATCTGGCGTTACAACAAAACAAGAAAAGTCACCAAAACAAAAATATTAAAAGTCTTAAATGATAATTTGCATGTCAAAAAAGATCAAACTTACTGTAATTTATCCCAAATGTTACAATATCCATTTAGAAAATTAAAGGTTTCTCTCTAGATCAGAATTACTTAAACATTGGTGATTAAGAATTCACTCTTTTTTTTCATCTGTTGAAGAACCATTTCTATCAGGGCAACTACTTTCGATCTGAACAAATCTTATTAAACTATGGGGTATTTAAATCATTCATGAATTAGATATAGCTGAACCAACCAGAATAAGAACAGTTGGAATCGTGGTTAGCGATCTTAGGTGCTAAGCCAAAGATTCCTAGCAAATGGTGCATAAGCCTAATTTGGGAGCAGACAGCATTATGTGACGTGTCAAGCGTTTACTTTTTTATCACGAATATATCAATCCATACAATAGAATGCTCCGGAGATTTAAGAGTACAAGCTTAAATAACAGAAAATGTTTTCTCTCTCAGATTCCAGTCGATGAAGGCGTGAGGAGGGGTCTCCATGGATACAAATATACATTTCCTGAACACATGATGGACAATGGAAAATACATCAAAGAAAACAAGTGCTTCTGCAGAGAAGGTACGTATTTTAAACGTGTAAATATCAAATGAGGATACAGACTTCCTGGTAACAGCTGACCTGCTCAAGCCTGGCCTTCACTCCCGTATAGGCGTTATCCCTTTCCTCCCATAGCCTTCCCCTTTTAATAAACTTCCTGTTTTCCCATTGTAGCCTAAGTACCCGGTTGAAGGCAAATTAAGGTTACAAAATGATCAAGATGCTTTTAATAAAATGCATGAAAAATAACTATTGTCTATCTTCATCAGGTGTATGCCTCCCTGATGGTCTGATTGACGTCACCGACTGCTACTATGGTTTCCCGATTGCATTGTCATACCCTCACTTTTGGAAGACGGATAAAGTGGTGCTCGACAAGGTCGAGGGTTTGACGCCGAGCCAAGAGAAGCATGAGACTGCGTAAGTGTTAATTTTTTTTTGCTAAGTCACTGTAGATAATGATGCCAATATCCATTAACTCAACAACTCAAAAGCTATTGGGCCCAGTAGTATATCTCTGTTCTTGAGGTATGCTCGTATTTTGAGCTAGGATAGAGTTGGCAATTCAGTTGTTTTTCTTCCATCAGAAAATTGCGAATCTAATGTTTACCTGAACTTATTCAATCCGGCTCTTTCTTCCTTCCATTTTAAACACCGAACTATTTTTTCAGGTTTTGGATCGAACCACAATCAGGCCTGCCGTTGGAGGTGAGCTCCAAGTTCCAGATCAACATGGCGCTGGGTGATATCTCTATGATAAGAAATGTTGAAAGGTTCTCTAACATGTTCCTGCCCCTCCTTTGGTTTGATATCGTAAGTATCTTTACTGAACTATAAAATGGTACGGTGTCATTTTTTTGACATAATAGACTCCTGATCATATGTCTTGCTTTAATGAAATGAAATTATTTTCTTGAAAATTATATGATGGTGTTTTTGTTCTAGATTTTTCCAACAAAACTAATATGTCACTTCTGTTACAGAAAATGTACCAACTGCCCCAATCACTGCAACAACGCTTCAGTCTCTACCTCAACATTCTTCCAGTCGTCGAACAAACCGCAATGTACGCCCTCTTCGTAACTGGTGCTGTCTTCATCTTAACAACAGTCTACATGTTAACCTTTAAAGTCATGTTCAGAAAACCTAGAGACTTCGAAAATTGGAAAGAGAAAGATGGAGTTTACGCCCCTTGTGAAGTACCTTTGACTGACACGGACACCGATGTTGAAAACAATAAATCTCTTCTCAAGTTCCACAGCGAGAAGATAAAAGACTTCAGTGCAAGGCTTAGTGACAAAGTGTACGATACAGTGGGTGGCGTAAAGGATAAAATGGTTGGAGAACTAAACAACGTTAAACATGTATTTGATAAAAAAGATAACAAAAATAATGACCAAAGTTACGCCGAAGTCAAACAGAGTGATAGCGAAGACGATTGCAAATACCTTGAAATTTTAGACGACGGTTCAGATTTGGTATTCAATCAGAAATACGAGACGAGAAGAACGGAGAAATTAAAAGATTTGGAATCACAGAACAGGATGGACTCATAGAAGTTTGTAAATGATTTAGAATTACTAAAGACATTACAGTTGATATAATTGATATGTTTCTACGACTGTTACGTCATATGTGAATTGGAGAATCATTTGATAAAGAATAAGTTTGTAAGAATTTGAATAATACAAGTTTGCCAGGATTTTCACGCAGTAGTAGGTCGGACCTCTTTGTCCAATAATAAACGATTTTTTGATTTGCCACTCACCCGTTTGGGTGAATTTCTTGCCATAGATGTGACTGATACTATAGATTCAAGGAGAATAAATTTCAATATTTTGCTTCGGTTTCTTGTGCAATTTTCTATATTACAACTTAAAGGATAATATAATTCCGAACTTTTATTAAAGGGATGTGATATATAATTAAAACTGAGCTTAGAAATATGTATATACCTCATCAGATGTTAAAATATTAAATAATATGTTCATTATTTTCCATTGCTCTAGTTGGAATTAATGTTGGAATGTTTAAGGTACTCCTTTTCATTTAACTGTCAAAAAGTTTAGTAACATATTTAACTGGTAAACATAACATTTTTGCCAGTGTATGTAACAAAACTATAAAAACTGATCTTAATTTCATGAATGCTTTTTCTGCAGTCTGTAAGTTCTGTAGAAAGTGATGTAATTTCACAGCAAATTTATTTATTTTGCTAAAAAACCACTCTTTTTCTTTTTGACTCAAAGTAAAAAGTAAAAGAGACGAGTTTTTTACTACGTGCAATATAAGCCTAAATAACACAAGGCCTTTTGAAGTATCCAAATGTTGCTTTAAATAAGGTCATGTGTTATTAAGGCATATTAGATCTTTGTATTTTTAATTAGTGATTTTATACACTTTGAGAAATACTGGTGTATATAATATACTAGGAGGCCTCACTCAGGCCATTATATGTAAGAAATAATTGCTCATTACATAACCACGTCTACCTGTTATTTGTATAAACAGCTATTTTACCATAGAATATAAGAAAAAAGTTTTATCTGAAGTTTCATCTTATTTATTGTTATTAAAAGTACTCATAGAGAGAACACGGGGTACGGGGTACCTGTAAGTGAAAGCGATACAGGCAACAAGCGAGATGGATACCCGATATTACCCTCTGACCCTTTTAAGTTAAGCTGCGATGGGCAATTATTAACCTCATATTCCACAGCCAACCACAGAGTTCGACTAAGAAGAGATAGAGAGGACTATCTATTATACATCTCTCTCGTTGACTATATTGCAAGATTGATTCTCTTGTTCTCTCTAGGTTATGCATATACCACAAATTCGGGTTACTTTGTCAATGGTGTTTTTAGCAACGGTCGAGTCTTAACTAGAGTAAGGAATCCGCTGTAAATGGCACTGCGACTCGAGTATGGGCCACTTATGAAGCACGTTTGGGCCGGCTTGACATAATAATACCACGGCCTCACAGAAAACCGGTCTTGTTTGAGTTGCAGGTGTCCATGGGTGGCGATAGTCACTTACCATCAGACTAGTGTCGAGTCTGCTCAATTGCCCCCCATACCATAAAAAAACATTATTGACATTATTAATCAGCCTATCGCAGTCCACTGCTGGACATAGGCCTCTCAACTATTATGACAAATATAATATTGAATTGTTATTTCGAAATGTTAAATTGCTTTTTATGTCAGTTGGCAGTATTGCCCTATGCCAAAATAAAATTCTTGCCAATATTGATATTGAATTTCATTGATTTTTTTTTATGGCACCTATGGCTGATTTAGGACTTAGGCCTAGATTTGAGGCCGAATATCTGTATTTGTGTATTTTTTTAATGTTTTCTGGTCTCTCAGAGTCCATCTAGGCCTAAACATTTGCAACACTCTATTGTGATATTTATATTAGTTTAATGTTAATTTTATAATTAAACTCGAATTTATATTTTTATACAATTATTTATTGTTGAATAAAATAATCTTGGTATCATGATTTATATTCATTTGATACTTATACAAATTTATATTTATATTTTTTAAACTGTTTTATTCAACAATAGTGTTTGTGACTAGCTTGTAATAATTAGGTAAGTAATTAAAATTAATTTTAAATTATAACATAAACAAAAGTATTCCCTATGTTTGGTACTTGGTCGATTATTTTGTAAATATAATTATTAATTATTGAAATTAAATTGTTTTTTAAATATGATTTTTTGTTATTATTTTGTTTTATTAAAAATTGGGATATTTAAAAGTACCTATCCCAATTTTTACAGGAGTAAGTAGACATAATTATGATTAGTTAGGTATTTGATTCCACTAGTGGTGGGGTGATATAAAGACTAGAGCAGTAGTGCTATTCTGTTAGAACTTTTGGGTATCTCGAAAGCTGAATTTGAAATTTTAAATTCGTATTCTGTAAATTGAAACCACAGAACACCCAGAATACAGTGAATAAACTAGAAATGCTATATAGGCGGGGCAGACTCGCCGGAGTTATGAGCAAACGTGCATATTTAAAAACATTCGTACTCGCGTATTACTTTTAAGTAACATTACAAAGTATTATGTAATACAAGATAGAAAACCGTTATGATCTAATCTGTTAAAGCAATCATACATTACGTATTAAATTTGAGCACCAACTACATTGTAACTACGAGAGCACGCAATGAATTGCTTTCGTGCAGAAATATTTCGATACATTTTGCACGAAAGTATTTAGTAAAGTCACAGTTCATATTTGGTTCCGATAGTGATGTAGCCAATATTGTTTTAATTCATTCGACATCGTAATTTTATAGTAATCGATGATTTTTGTTTTTTAAATTTTCTGTTTAGTATCAACTAACGTTCCTTTTTTGTTTTGATTGGTGTCAAATGTTTGACAGCTAGCTAATTTTCTCTGTGGTTTGTATGGAAAAAGAAAAATGTGATTTTTACTATTTTCCTCAGAATTTTTACGTATTTTTCTCTTCAAAAGAACCTTTCTTATGCTTTCACAAAAATATTTGAAAAAAGGACGGGCCTTACCCGAGTTTTGCGTTTTGCAACATATTTAGCGATTCATTTTTATTTTTATAGATATATATACAATGACATTTTAAGGAAGACACGTTATATTCATACTGCACGCACAAAATATTTGTTTCGTAACCGTACATACATCTATTAATGCATTTTAGAACAAAACATACAACTTACCCGTGGTATGATATTCATTTATCTTTATTTACCCTTTTGTCGTAATTTGTGCACTTTCGGAATGCACTGGAAGCCGCTCGTAGTGGTCCTAATTAGGACCAATTCACAGCACGCTTTTGGTGCGTTGGCAGCGTATCTGCCCCTTGTTTGTATAATATAATATCATTGAATAAGATACCAAATATTGTTGGAGCGGAAAATAAAAGAAATGCGAACGAATACCGAATACTCAGTCGCCATTTTGATTTAAATAAAATTAAATGTTAAAACATACACATTTTAATATAAAACTGTTTTAAAACATATTTATACAATAATATACATTTATTAATATTTAAAGTAATAGTGAAACGCTTTAAAATTAACATGATGATGGTGATGGCGTTAAATTTTCGTTTTCAATAACCAGCTTGTGTAACGATCACCACAATCGGTGATAGAAATATACAAGGGCGATTCTTTATCATCTTAATTCATCACGGTTTTCGCTAAACTTGTGAGGTTTTTTGGTGTAATATTAAAAGTTTTATTATATAGAACTTAACCTACTGGACTGAAGTCTCTACGTTATAATAATCAATAACTTTCTTGAACATCCAGTAGAAGATGGCGCCGTAGAATACCACTTGACAAATTTTGTCTAATATTACCATTCTGAAACAAAATAATAATAATAATCTACCACATTCACACAACGCCATCTAGTCCCAAACTAAGCAGAGCAAACAACTGATATAAATACATATCCTTTTTTTGTAAATACATACACATTATACATATAAACATTAGACCAAATCAAACAATAAATATCCACACAAATGCTTGACTTGAGCAGGAATCGAACCCGCTGTCTTTAGCGTAGCAGTCCGTCACACAAACTACTACGCCATGCGGCCGTCAAATAAAAACTAAAATTAATAAACACTAAAATAAACAAGTGTGTGTTTTTCATGGCAAGTGCCTACCGTCGCCTATCACAACACATGCTACTTAAGAGACACAAGTAAGTTGTCACCCTTTCAGTCCTACCCCCTTTTTTTCTGTGCGGAAATCCCCTTTGCATACCACCCACCGGTGGGATGGTTATGTCGGACTCGAACCGACCAAAAACCGCACGCCGTCTCGGGTACCAGTTCTTTTTTCTTCTTGTTTATTAAAAGACTCCCGTACTAGCAATAAATCCTGTGTCCCAGGGGACTTTACAAACATACATGAAACGAATACAAAAACGCCCAGACTCAGAACAACAATTTGTGGATCACACAAAGTGTTGTCCCATGTGGGGATCGAACCCACAACACTCAGCGCAGTAGAAAGCGGCGAGGTGACCGCTTAAACCACTACGCCATCCGTGCAGTCGAAATTCTTATGTTATTATCACGAACGAGATGTTTGGTATGGCTTAAAACATGTTCAAACACGTGGACAAGGAAAACATATTATATTTTTATGTTAATGGTGATTAATTTCTATTTTAAATAAAAATGTGAACATTAAATGATTAATAAATTTGAAATTTTATGATTTATCTTATAAATAGCAAATCTATACATGTTTTTTTTTCAAATTAAACGTTATATCGGATTAAAAAACATAATAAACTAACACTGCCATCAATTTATATTTTGGAAATACGAAAATAAAATTCAAGACCTCTCTACAAAAAAGATGATAAACAAAAAACTACACACTACGCCATAGTACTAGATTAAACCTACCTTCTTCTCTACTTCAAAGTCATTCAAATAGCACTCAAGTAATGTCTATCAACATTTATAATAAATTACCCAAGAGAATTACAAGTGTAACAAAATTTAATGTATTCACAAATAAATTAAAACAATTACTTCTGTACAAATGATATTTCAGAATAAGCGAATTCCTGAATGACAAAAATGACTCTAGTTGAACGAACGCAACCAATAATAGGTACATTAAAATTGTGCAGAAGTAATTGTTTGGCAGTGGGCTGGCCATATTAGCCGCAGAACCGATAACCGTTGGGGAAAACGAGTTCTTGAGTGGAGACCGCGTCTCGGCAAACGTAGTGTAGGACGCCCACAGGCCAGGTGGAGTGACGATTTGCGCAAGATGGCTGGCAGGAGCTGGATGCGAGAAGCCCAAAATCGATCTAAGTGGCGTACAATGGGAGAGGCCTATGTCCAGCAGTGGACTGCGATAGGCTGATGATGATGATGATGATGAATTGTTTGAAAGTAGTGTGTGTGTCGGAAGAACCGACTAAGGGAGCAAACTACGCTAATCTAATCTAGAGCTAGTGTAATCTAGAGAGGAAATAACTGGTACTGAGTCCTCCCTCCTAGATCAGGAGGAGGAGGGGTTCGGACTCCAGTAACCGAACTCACTCGACTCTGCTTAATACCAGTTTTCTGTGAGGCCGTGGTAACACTCCGGTCAAGCCTGCCTCATATGTATCGAAGCACGGCTATCTCATGCTTCTTAGTAAAGTATTTAAAGATTTTGTGTCGCATTACAGCAAAGGCCAATATGGCGCTCGCATCAGCTGAGTGTGTAGCATGTGCTCAGTTTTTTTTTTGTATAATAATAATATATTTTTTTAAATAATATTTTCACACATTTCACACACGGGCCGTCTGATCCCAAACTAGGCAGAGCCTGTACTATGGTAACCAGACTGCTGATAGACATACACATTTATTTCTAAATACATACATATTATAGATATAGTACACCCAGACACAGAACAAATGACCGCGCTCATCACACAATTATTTGTCCTGGGTGGGAATCGAACCCACGACCTCTGGCGTAGCAGTCAGGGTCACTAACCACTAGACCAACAGGCCAGCCAGTTTAATTAATGAATATTATAAATATTATAATATTTTCGGACATCTGACACAACGACATCTGCACGGATGGCGTAGTGGTTTAAGCGGTCGCCACGCCGCTTTCTACTACACCGAGTGTTGTGGGTTCAAACCCCACATGGGACGACACTTTGTGTGATCGACAAATTGTTGTTCTGGGTGTTCTTTGTGTCTGATTCATGTATTTTTGTAAAGTCTCCCGCGACACACGATATATTCCTAATGCCTTTTAAAAAAATGTTGTCGTTAAAAAAAAAACTAGTTTCAAACAAAGCAGAGCTTGTACTATGAAAGCTAGGTTGACTGATACAATACTTGTATACTTTTTTTGTAAATACATAGGTACATATAGATATTAAACACCCAAACTCCTTAACAAATATTTGCAGCTTATACAAACATTTGGTCCGACCCAGGAATCGAACCTTAGAACAGCAGTCGCATACGCTTCCGCGGCAACACCGGTACCGTAGTCAAACACGCAGATTGTAATTAAAATTTATAGTTGAATATCTTGTCTACTATTGATTTCCCATTATCATTCAAATTTTACAATTATTAAGTTAAGATCAAAAACACGGAAAATTTTCAGTTAGAGGCCTACGATCCGAAAAAAGTTTCATTTGTATCGTGGTTTCATAAAATCTACCATTACCACATAGTTAAAAATCTGTTTATTTGTTCCGGATGATCACCGGAATAGATAGACCGATTTTGACCAGTCTAAATCTAGCTGTTTCACTTTTACTGGCACAAAGCTGATGTGAAAAAGAATAAAATGAGATTTTTAATTGGAAAATAGGGAAAAAAGTAAAGTATTCCTTCAATTTTTTTCAGAGAGTAGTTTTTGTTTAAAACATAAACTCAAACTAATTTTTAAAATTGTTTGAAATTTTCTTTTAGCAGAAACACACACAAAAGCAACAATCTTTGTTTTGTCAAATAGTAAGCAAATAAATTTAATAAAAATCAAACCCATACAAAATCAATGATATGCCTGTGCCGATCTACAACCACCCGTTTCCAAGGGGTTGAGCCTTATAACAAAAAAGGGCAAACAAACTCATGGCCACTCTTTTGCAATTCACAGATAGATACAATGGCATTATTAAATATACCATAACATTGTTTTGATGTGTGCCCTTATGTCCGTTATTAAGGACTAAATGGTAAAAAGACAATGAAGAGAAAATAAGATTAAGAAAAAAAAAGTGAAACATAAAAAATTGAAAAAATAATAATAATAATAAACACACTAGCCAACACCACATTTTTACTTAAGAAAGAAATAGGCGGCGCTAATTAATCCCAAGCATTTTTGTCTTCTATGTAATCCACAACCGAGCAGTAGGCTTAGTTACATATACAAAGTTACGGGCTCAGCTAGTTCTAAACATAAATCCAAAATTGTTACCTTCTACAATGAACCTTTGCTGCAGGCAGATCTTCGTCTTTTTCCTTTAGCAAATACTTTCTCCCACCGTAACAACCATTCATTAAGAAAGTAGGAATATCAAGACTCTCCAGTTCGTAATAAAAAGCATCCTTATCCTCTTCCTTCAGCGATGAGCGAAGAGCCACAAAGTTCTTGTTATCGAAGGTCCATTGCTGTGTCGTATAGTATCGTAAAGCTAGGTCAGCTATGTAAATCCGCCGTTGGATTTTCACTAACCTGGAAAATAAAATTGTCGTCATGTATTAGTGCAGGGATTTCCAAATTATTTTGAGCAAGAGATCCCTTTTCCAAAATTAATTGATACCTCAGAGCCCCATAGCCAAATTACTTTAAAAAGTCAATCTCTAGTTTTTTCCTATTGGTACTAAATCATCACACATCATCATCATCATCACACATCAACAGTCTTTAATAGTCACCACCCCTATTCATCCTGTTGGTCGACACCGAGCCGACTAAGGGAGCAAACTACGCAGGTCAACAGCACTGCAAAGAGAAGGAAAACTTGAATACAACCCGTCTGGCCAGCGTGGTATAGTAGGCCAAAACCTTCATTCTAAGGAGAGACCTATGTCCAGCAGTGGACTGTTAAAGGCTGTTGATGATGTCGACCCCTGGGAAACTGATTTCGACCCCAAGGGTCCATATCGACCTCTTTGGGAATTCCTGCATTAGAGTATTGAAGCTTACAATTAACTTATGTGGCATTGAGTCACCTAAAGGCCCACAGCTATAATGCTTTAATGCGAAGATTAATAAAAGAGAGCAACGTGGGAGAACCATGCCTCGTCTGCCGAAGTCTGGTGGCCAGCCCGACCGGAAGGCCCGGCTTTACAGAAAACCGCTGTAAGGCAGTACTTTCGCTGTTATTCACCGAGTAACTGAGGCTACCGGAACGCAAACCTTTTTCCCTATGATTCTGGGGGAAGGGGTGTATAGGGCGGTTTTGCACTTGTGACTGAGTTGCAAATGTCCATGGGCGTTGGCAGTCATTTATCATCGGTGAACCGTCTGCTCGTCATAACTCATTTTCTTCATAATCTTTTTGAGCCGTGAGTAACCAGGGCCTCAATTCTGCTATTCTAATATTGTAGCAATAGACTGTTGATGAAATGTCGTCGGAATAGTTTTGCACTTTTCATATTCAAATAACTATGAAAGATCAATGGCCTCCCTTGCACCTACCGACTATTACTTTTTCCAAAATTTAGACAACTTTTTAGTGGGTAAAAAATTCAATTCCCGAGAGGCAGTACAAAATGCCTTTGAAGAGTTTGCTGCCTCCCGTCCAGCTGATTTTTACAAGAAGGGCATCAATAAACTGCCAATGCGTTGGCAAAGATGCGTCGATTGCATGGGTGATTACTTCGAATAACAGAAATAAAAAAGTTTGAAAAAATAAGTACTTTCACTTATTGCATACAAAACGGCAACTTCATAGGTAAAGACCTATTATATAATTTTCCAGGTATAAAAATGTTGTTGATGTCACCATTGATGACCTATATTACTATATCGACAGTCTATTGACACTGTGAATTTATAGAATATAAAGTTAGCAGAATACTGATATTTTTACCAATGTCAATGGCGTCTTAATAGCGTGTCAATGAAATGACAGTGGCTTGGCGTTAACATAAAATAGCAGAATTGAAGCCCTATTCGGTTACGAAGCTTAGTAGAGATGGCGGCCGGCCCCTATATGTTCAGCAAAGACAAGCCTTTAAAGATCATCAAATAAGACCTTCGCTACTGATACTTACATAGGCTTCTTACCCAATAACCAGAGGACTGTATCCACTAAAATAGCTGGCAGTAAATGCTGGATCAAGACCTGAAAAGAAAGAAAAAAAAAAGTTAACATCAAGTTTTCTCCTTTTTAGTTTTTTTCAGTTTTCATTCTCTACATTGATGATTATGTCAATATCCATGTAGTAAAGGATTAAGAATACGGGGTATCACTTCCCCTATTCATCCCGTCGTAAGAGTTGACTAAGGGAGCAAACTAACTCTTTGCAGAACTGTTGTTCTGCGTACAGCACAACAGTACTGCAAAGACAAGGAAAACTTGACACAAACCCTATACCAACTCGTCTGACCTGCGTGGTATAGTAGGCCAAAACCTCCCTTCTAAGGAGAGTCAGTACAGCATACTTTTTAGTGTGTAACATAATTACATATTTTCTCTCGCTATTCTGAATTTTTGAAATTTGAAAAATAAGAGAGAGACTGTGTTGGACTGAGTTTGATCTTAATTTAGATTTCAAATGTTACACATCTGTGTAACATGATGCGTAGGTACTTATTACAAATTATCTTACAAATAATCAATGTTTTTTACCTTCAAATAATGTACATTTGCATTGGTGGTTATTTTCCCCCCGACACACCACAGCATGCCATCAAGAGGGAGTTGCGCACCGAAAAATTTGGACATCTCAACGAGATCATGCATTTTCAAACCGTTCAGTTTCCCGGCGCAGCAGTTGTATATAGGAATGTCATCTGTTGGTTCCAATCTGAGAAGAGGGATAAGAAGAGTTATCAACACTACTACTGCAATATAATTTGAAGTACTCACACAGGCGTCTGATCATAAACTCGGCAGGTAACCAGTCTGCTAATAAACATAATTACTTATAAACTTCTAAATATATATTTATTATAGATAAATACTCCCAGACACGGAACAAATGAGCGTGCTAATCAAACGATCATTTCTCCCGAGTGGATTTTAAACCCAAAACGAATAGACAAGTCTTACTTTTAAAAGAAATAACCTAACTTAGGAAATTTTACGGCTAGAAAAATTGAAAACAATTTTTTTTTATACATTTTTGCTTGGTATTTTGTAAGAAATAGGGGCCATTAGGAATCCTTCCTATTATATTACTCACTAGCTGAGACCCGCGGTGTTACCCGCGTTTGTTGTTATAACCGCGGGCACCGCCGCGGGGCGAAGCTAGTCTAAAAAAAGTAGCCTAAGTTACTCCTTATGTCATCAGCTATCTGCTAGTGAAAGTCCCTTCGAAATCGGACCAGCCGTTTTAGAGATTACCCGGAACAAACAGACAGACAGACAAAAATTGAAAATAATGTTATTTTGGCATATGTACCGTGTAAACATACATATGCATTTATTAAAAAGCGGTTATTTTAATATTACAAACAGACACTCCAATTTTATTTATTTTTATAGATTTAAGGTGATTCTACACGATGCAAGTATCTGGAGCGGGCAAAGACGCGTGTTATCTGCGTGGATAACATGGACGAGTTACTTGCAAGTTTGGTTAATCCAATCCAATGTGCATACTGCTCGCCCTGGTACATGCTCGAGTCGCTGTACCTGCATAGTCCTGCAAATAGCCTGCGCAGGGCAACAAAGGAATCACCTTCTTCAACACTTCTTCTGCCCTAGAGCTGGTTAAAATTAATTATTCGTAAATACCTCTTCGTCCCTCTGACCCAGGCAGCAGCAGCAATGTTCTTAGCACACGTGTCAACTGGAATAAAGTCGCTGACGATGTCTGGCTTTACGTGACAAGTCCTCATGATGCCTGGAAAAGGAGACATGTATATTCACGCGTATAATAATAATATTGTACCACATTCACACAACGCCATCTAGTCCCAAACTAAGCAGAGCTTGTACTATGGATACTAGACAACTGATATAAATACATACGAGTATATAATTTTTTTTGTAAATACATACTTATTATACATAGAAACACCCAGACCAAATCAAACATTAAATGTTCATGCACACAAATGTGTGACTTAAGCGGGAATCGAACCTTCGAAAGGGTACACAGAGGCGTGTTAAGCGGCCGCATCTTGCTGATTATTATATTAGTCCCATTTATTTATTAGTGGCGAATCTATCGCCGACAATCGGGTACATTAGGAGCTGTAGGGGGGAATTGGAAGAGTCTGTGGTCTATTAATCAGAAAAAAAACTAAATATAAATATTTATACTAAATTGTCATTTACTAAATAAAAAAACCAGTCAAGTGCGAGTCGGACTCGCTCACCGAGGGTTCCATACCAGTTCCATATCGCAGTTTTTTCCGAGTTTTTCACGAAATTCAGTTAACAAAACCTATAATTAGTTATATTATTGTGTTTTGTAAAATTGTACCTCTGTTATTGATTACGTATTGTAAATAGAGTTAATATTTTTTATGATTTAATGACAGACAGACAATAGGACAACACAGTGATGCTATTAAGGTTATTTTTTCTTTTGAGGTACGGAACCCTAAATACCCTATAAAAATATACGTAACACCCGTCGAGCAAGTCTACTTGTTCTGCAAACATAGAAACACTTAAAAAGTATATAACTTTTATAGGTATTCAACTTCATAAAAGTCTACCCTCATATACAAGTAATGGTCCACATATACTCGTAAATACGAGTATACGAACCATTTCTTATACTGCACGGATGGCGTAGTGGTTTAAGTGGTCGCCACGCCGCTTCCTACTACGTTGAGTGGGTTCGATCCCCACATGGGACGACACTTAGTGTGATCCACAAATTATTGTCGCTCTATGTCTGGGTGTTATTTGTGTCCGTTTCATGTATGTTTGTAAAGCCCTCCGCGACACAGGATATATTCCTAGTGCGGGAGTTGTCTTTAAAAAGAACAATCATCATCAACATCCTTAATTTGTGCACTTCTGGACTTAGTCCTGTCCTTAGACAGGAGGTTTTAGCCTACTACACCTCGATGGCCGGACGGGTTGGTATTGGTTGGGTTGGTTGGTATACAGCTTATGTTGGTCTACATTATTCCAGTATATTATTAGCAACCTCGCTGCTCAATTAAATTATTTTCCTTTCATCATCATCATCATCATCATCAACAGACTTTAACAGTCCACTGCTGGACATAGGCCTCTCCTTAGACAGGAGGTTTTGGCCTACTATACCACGCTGGCCGGACGGGTTAGTTTTCCTTCTCTTTGTAGTGCTGTAGTCCTGCGCAGTTTGCTCTCTTAGTCGTCTCTTACGACACCCACGGGCTGAATAGGGGTGGTGACATTCTGTATTCTTAATCCGTCACCACACGGACAAATTTGTCTTTTATTAAATATCAAAACAGTCTAGGCGATAAAACTCTATTATTTTTAAATTCTGAAGTAAGTGGCATACGTATCTTTTTGTAAATAAATTCTTTTAAGTAAAAATATAGTTTTGTTTGGTAGCAAATATCGAGCAGTTCAGGGTCTGGAACACCTGTTTATTATTGGCCATTTCTTTACAACTATAATAACTATATGGGAAAAATAATAATAATGGGAGAGGGAGGTTTTTGCTTATACACCCAGCTCGATCGGATTGATACTACGGTTTCATAGAAACCTCGTATTGAGCGGTTTTTTTAAGGTTTACCATGGAAACCGAAATTACTAGTATTACTAGTATTCCTGTTAACCCTTTTTTTTTTTTTTTCTAACGCGGGGAATGCTTTTCGCACCATACCCTCCGTTGGGGAAACTTCGAACCCACGACCTCTTAATCATGCTCTTCATTGAGTGAGTCAGGTCATAGGAGTTAATTAAAAACAGTTACTGATAAAATAGATCTCAAATTTGTTACCAAATATTAGCGACAATAAATAATTTGTTAACAAAAAAAGAAAACACAAAAAGAATTTCTCTCCGGCGGGGAATCGAACCCCGGTCTCCCGCGTGACAGGCGGGGATACTTACCACTATACTACCGAAGACTTGTAAATGTGAGCTAAAAGTAATGTTCTTATGTTACATTTAAGTATTTATGTGTTATTTATTTTTTACCTTTTCCACAAGCAACAAATATTCCAACAGGTCCATTGAAGTTCTCCACCCAACCTGGCATCGGTTCTGATATACTGGATATCACTGAAATAAAATTTTATCTGTTTATTATCTACGAAATGTAATTAAAAGTAAAACAAACATTAAAACAAATATACTTAATCTAATTGAGACTTATAATGTAAAATAAGTATGCACGTAGAATTTTATAACTACGCAATCACCCGTCAGAGTTAACAAAACTTACCAATAGATGGCCTAACAATCACGATAGGCAGTTGTCCTTTGTACTCAGAGACTACATGTTCAGCCAATTGTTTACTAAACGTGTAAGTGTTAGGAATTTCTCCTAAATACCTAAACAGAAATATAATAAATTTAAATATATTACAACAATATTTGAATTGTTAGAATTTGGAAAATACAAAACTCTTATTTAAATTCATTATAGGGTGTAAACTAAACGTTCACGTTAATATTTCAACAGATGGCGCTGTTCTCAAAATACACAAGAAACCAAGTTTGTAAAAAAGAGATTATGTAGATTAAAATAAAATTGACATATGTTTCATGACTAAAGAATTACTGAAAGATAAATGAAAACTGAAATTTATAAAATCAAATTTTGAAAATACTGTGGACCGCCATCTATTGAAAAAAGAATGTCACTAAAAATATCTCTGGATGACACTGTTGACAATTTGAAACAAAAAAATATACAGTTTAAAATTTGTGTTTCAGAGCCTTACTTGGGTGTCAAAACTCTTAAAGTGTGTTCATCAACTGAATCACAAATAGCCAACGTCTTCCTCCAATCAGCTAGGGGAGGATACAAAACCTCTTCTATGGGATCCCTGTTCGTGTTGGAGTACGAGGTAGAAACGTGAACGAACGCCTGTAAGAAGAAAATAAATCGTTTTCCAATTCTTATAGTAGAAAATGAACCATAAAGATTTCATCTTAAAATCTAAAATACCGTGCAGAGAAACAGCGATGGGCGCGGAGAGGGATCCTAGTCCTCTCGTCAAAGAATATCACATGTTTCGTGTATTTATTTACTTTTCGACACAGATTTTCCTCGAAAGAATTTCGCATACATATTTTGGAATCCACACTTAATAATGGTTTGGCTCATAATACCTTTTAAATAATTTCTATTCAGTGATCATTTGCGAATCATATGTGAACTGCTATGACAAGAACGACCTCGACTTGTTGCTGTTAACCGACAGATGGCGTTGCCGTAGTTTCGGCATGATATCCAAGAGGCGTATAACTTTATTTAAATGTTTTGTTTCTCAAATTTTTAATTTAATCACAATGGATCGCTTCACATTACCAAAGCTTTATTTTTGTTATGGAAAAAACAGATCACTGACTAAAGTACGTCAAGTTGAATACAAATTAGACGACATAAATCAGTGTCCGAGTGGTGATTTAGTAAAGAAATGGGTGAAGATGTTTGAAGAGACGGGGTCGACACTGGATAAGAAAGAAATACCAAAATACGTAAAATCATAAAAATCTTAAGTGCAGATATTGATAAGGGCAGGCACCAGGTATTGATAATATTAAAGCATTGGATATTAAATGTATAGGGGATGACATCTCAATCGCTATATCCAACTTAATAAATAGTATTGGAAAATCCTGTCTCTATCCCGATGAGCTACAATAGGGATGTGTAAGACCCGTATTTAAAAAGGGAAAAAGAAATTACTACCTGAACTATCGTCCTATTAAACTACTTTCCACTGTAGATAAAATAGTTGAAAAAATTATCGCTGATCAAATACAAAGTTTCTACCAAAGGCATGATGTAATATACTGAAATCAATTAGGATTCCAAAAGTAGTAGAAAAGAAAGAAAGAAATATTACTCTGTTAATAGATTTTTCCAGCGCATTCAATGTTTTAGATCACAACAAATTAATAATAGATAGAATTGGTAACTGTGGCCTAACCCGTAGGTTTAGCCGTGGGAGAGCCATGCTTTTGGCACGAATGGACCGGCTCGACCGGAGTAATACCACAGTCTCACAGAAAATCGGTGTTAAGCAATTATTTCGTTACCTTTCACCGAGTGAGTGAGGTTACCGGAGCCCAAATCATTCTGCTGACTCGAACGGGAGTGACTCCAAGGGTAAAACGGTACATGCTATCAGTTTGCTGACGACATTAAGCTGGTAACTGACAAAGACCTACTAAAGGCACTTGCGACGCTACAGTCCGATTTTAATACCTTATTAAGATGGTGCCATGATGCTGGACTGGTAGTAAATTCGGACAAAACTAAATTGTTAGTTATCAGTGGCATACCGTCACTTCTGCGCTGATTGCTCACACTCATAGCTGATTACGTAAATTTAGTAAAGACGCGTGTAACTGCCCAGCCATAGAAATAGTTAAATCACAAACCTACCTTGGTCTAGTGGTAGACAGTAAATTTAATTGGATTATCATATTGAATATGTTTGCAATAAACTACGGCAGTTTCTGGCCAACATTATTATTCTTAAAAACAGAATTGGATTTAAAGTGAAATTAATGTTGTATCATTCATTAGTAGAATCTTATATCCGGTATGGGCTTAATAGTTATGGTTGATCCTATAACAGTTAAATCAAACAAATCTACAAATTGCAATTGAAAATTTTGAAGAATATTGTATCCCATAAAATTAAATTATCATTTTATAACGACGAGATTGGCCTCTTTAAACATTGTATAGTCTTACTCGTTCATACTAAATTTAACTTTATTGTTTTAAAAGAAAACTTTGTTAATAGCACATTAAAAAAGTCAAAGTACAGCCTGTGCATACAACAGGAGCGCATAACCGGTTATGCACACTTAGCGCAAACAACACGTACGGCGAAAGAACTACTGCCTACATAACTCCTCGACTGATAAACAAGCTACCCCCGAATTTAGTTAATAAAATTAGAGAGGGTAACATTAAATCATAACTTAAAGAATTTTTCACAAACAACTACTAATCATTTTTTAAATATAATTAAAGTATTCACATTTAAGAGATACATTTATCGAGTTATGATAACTAAATTTGCGATACTGACTGCCTGTGTAACACTCCAAAAACCTTTGTGGTTTATCGTGTTATGTTTTAATACTTCCTGTAGATTTGGTTTTATATGATAAATAAATTAAAAAAAAAAAACTAAAGTTATACTCTTTTATTTTTAAATTAAGGATTTTTTGTTTGTTTTATCGATGTTTTTTTACATCTTATTTAGTTTTATCAAATATGTGCCATAGACGCGAACACTTAAACCTGGTCCGAAACTCCTAGTGCAAAAAAATAAAAAAATATATTCATCGAGCTTTGGAACGTATCCGTGGTTTACACTTTTCTGTTCTCAAATGTGCCGGTCGCTGATTCAGCACTTATTACAGCCCTAGCGTATATCCATCTTATGGTCTAAGATGCTACTACAAGTAGAACTTGTAAATGTTAATACTTACAAATAAATTTTTTACTTCTTTCGCCAAAGCGAGTGTGTCCAGAGTACCTTTTAAATTCATCTGTATTGCAAACTTCAACGGATCGTCGAACCTGAAAATAATTGTCATGTTTTTTAAGAAGTCGGACTTGTTGGTTCTATGCCTAGGTGTATATCTATAATATTGTTACGAGCGGGGTATAAAATAAATAAAAGTTGTCAGTTAATTACTTTTATTGAACTGTCTTTACAAACACTCACTATGACAAAGAAAAATCACTATATAACTCGTTAGTCGCACTAGAAATTCGCTTGGATGTTAATTCGCTGTATCATAAAACGATACTATGTCGCACGGCCAAGACGCTCCGCTTTTATAGTGTTATCGAATTTACTAGAATGATCCCTAGTATTCGGTAATCCGTTCCAAACAAATAAGAATGTTCCAGTATCAGTTACGCGTTACTTACAGCGCCATCTAGCGCTGTAAAATCAGAATTACTAATCACAATCTCAATAGTTGTACTTTACGTGATACTAGATACCGCTGTCCTCCACATTCCATACAATTCTCGAACAATCGAACTACTTAATCCTATGGAGCAACAATATGGTACGGAACAATATGGTACAACATGGAAACTAGCTGATTCCCGCGACTTCGTTCTCGTGCAATTTGGAAAATTGCCTTAGTTACTTCATCATCATCATCATCAGCCTATCGCAGTCCACTGCTGGACATGGGCTCCTTAGTTACTTAGTCTACTGCAATCTTTACCTGACACTTGCTGCAACGTGGAATATGACATTCACTTCGTTGATAAGAAGCTCTCGATCCTCCAGAGACAAACCTATAAAAAGCACATATACATATAAAAGAGATACATGGTAATCGCCATTAAAATTAAGAGCAGTCTCAGTATAAAATCGACTAGGGTTACGCTTACTGTCGTTATCTCGGCCGTTGGGATATTAAGAAAAAATAAATTAATTGGAATGGGAAATATCTCCCATGTTTTCCATTCTAATTCTTTCATTTTTTAATCATTTATATTGAAATACAAAGTCTGGAATAATATCTTTTACACATTACTGTTTTCCGTAACAATACCTACCTGGAATAGGGCAAATTGGTGTTACTAATTAAAGGAATTGATGGTAAAAAATTCTAAACATTATAAAAACAATATTTTATTTATTTTGCACTTGTGTAGACTAGTGCAGCTTAGCAAAGTATCTATAATATATCCAATGTGTTCTTTGTGTCCGTTTCATGTATGTTTGTAAAGTCCCCCGCGACACAGGAATATATATTCCTAATGCGGGCGTTGTCTTTAAAAAAAAATATGTAAATCTTGGATCTCTATCTAAAAGAGTTCTATCCTTATCTGTCTCTTGACTCCATCCCATCTCTTGTATTTTTATAACTACATATACATACAAAGATGAATTTAATTTTTGATACAACAATTAAAGTATTTTAAAAGTTAATAAAACCGCTGATACACATCTTGGATTTGAAGTTTGTCAGAGAAAGTGTACAGTATTCTACTAGTCAAGCTCTTTCATTTGATACACATATTGAGGGAGTTGTGAAAAAATATATAATACGCCATTTTGTGTAATTAACCTTTCAAACAAAAAAAAAACAAAAACAAAATCGGTTCATCCGTTCGGGAGCTACAATGCCAGAGACAGAAATTTCAAAAAAAAAAACATTAAAATAAAATAATTCAATAGCAATGTCAGAAATCGATAGCATTAATTTGATGACTCAGTCAATTAAACACAATTATTAATCAAAGTTTCATTAAAATATTCATATAATTTCGTTTTAAATACATTTTTTTAGTGTATTCTTTGAGATCGTTCGGTAGTTTATTAAACAACTGTGCACCTTCGTATAGTGGTAGACTAGACTAGCTGGATTGAAAAGCGCTGCCTTAGCGGAGTAGTACCTCTGAGGCCTCGGGTTCGATACCCGGTCCGGGCTAAATTTTCTGAGAGGAAAAATAGCCAAAAAAATAAGTTACTCCGTATATAGACAGCTACTTGCTAGTAAAATATAATCAAAATTGGTCGAACCGTTTTGAAGATTACCCGGAACAAACAGACAGACAGACAGACAAAAAATATATTTAAACTGGTTTTTAGGCATGGGTATCGAGCAAATAACCGTGTGAGCATGAAAAATACCTATTGTTTTGTCATTACAAACATATTCTTCAATTTCATTTATTTGTATAGATTTATGATCGCAATTAGTGCGAAGTATGGTTAATTGTCTTTTGTTCCTGTTTCTTAAGTTGTGTGTTGTATCCTACGGTTGCAACCCTTATGTGGAGTTTTATGTCTTGGTCTTTTTTTTTAAACTGGTCCCGCACTAGGAATATAATCCTGTGTCGCGGGGGACTTTACAAACATACATGAAACGGACACAAAGAACACCCAGACTCAGAACAACAGTTTGTGGATCCCACAAAGCGTTGTTACTTGTGGGGTTCGAACCCACAACACTTAGCGTAGTATGAAACGCGAGGTGACCGCTTAAACCACTACGCCATACGTACAGTCAGATCTTTTGGCTTCTAGGCTTAGCAGTCAGGATCACTGGGGAGTTTGGGGGAGGAAGGGGGAAGATCGTCCTTGCGACTTGAACTGCAGGAGTCATTGGGTGGTCACTTAAGATCAGGTGCCCCGTCTGCTTTTTAACCCCCCTATATAATAGAAAATATCTCACCAAGTCCCGGTTCCATGACATCACCAGATATTACGAAGACCTTCGATCCAAAAACGTCAGGCTTTTCTGATCTGAGTCGATTAAAACACTGGAAGAAAAATTATTACAATTATAGGGGAATTTACGAAAGCACTTTTTAAATACAATTTTTCAATGAGCTTCACCCAAGGTGGGCCAACTATCCTAGTCTTGGGCAGTTCGCATCCATCCGCTGCCAGCCACTGACACACTGCGCCGATCCCAAATAAAATTGGAAGAAACAAAGAGAGATATAGATAGTTCAACTCAGTTGTGCGCGCGGCCCTATGTGTGCGTGGGCTTGTAAATATACAACTTTCATTCGTGTGGCAGTGACGCGGTGCTCGGACGACGACTGCCACACGAATGAAAGTTGCGGCGCGAAAGTTGGGCCGCGCGCACGACTGAGTTGAACTATCTATAATGATTCCTTTTTTCTTTCTGACTTTACAAACATACATGAAACGGACACAAAGAACACCCAGACTCAGAACAACAATTTCTGGGGGAGTGATGTGGGGTTTGAACCCACAACGTAGTAGGAATCGGCGTGGCGACCGCTTAAACCACTACGCCATCCGTGCAGTCAAATTACATAATACTTACAAGAGAGGAATAAAGATTTGCTAATCTGTCTTCTGGTTTCACATTCTTCTTACTTCTTAGCAGAAGGTATATCTTGCTTAGTTCCGTGCAAGAATACAACAGTTTTTCTATTAACACTTTGCCGATAAAGCCTGGGAACAATAACGAAAAGGTGTCTAAGTTTCCAGGCCATGGTGTTTTTCTGAGTTTAGAATATATGGAAAACCAGCTGTACCCTGCCCTGCTTCGCTGTGGCACATTATGGTTCCATTGATGAGAAATGAAGAACAAAAGAAAAATATATGAAATCGTGTCAAAATTTGATCTCAATTGGTACAGAACTTTTTGAGACTTCAAAGCGTACATAAACCAACTAAACATGTGAAAGTGAGTTTGTTGGAAAGAAGTTCCTTATCGCGCGTTGTGAAAGGGGGCTAGACGGAAAAAAATCTCACGAAAAGTTGTAACGACACTGTTTATGTCAGTCATTCAGCGCCATCTATCGAATAGGTAGGAAATCATTTCGCAAGGAGATTTTACCAATGTATAAATTGTTTTAATTAGAAACCAACTGAAAAATATGTAGGTAATAGCCGCTTTCATAGATGGCGTTGTAATTAAAATCGTGTCGAATCAGTTTTACTAGATAGTCACAACCTCGTTCCTATCGGGTGTCCCACGACACCACACGGCTTTTTTTGTTACACTTTCACGCCCAAAATACTAAAACGATTTTGAAAATTCTTTCACCAATGGAAAGCTACTTTATCAGCGAGTAACATAAGCTACTTCTAATCGCGATAACCGACATACATGCGAGTGGAGCCGCGGACAAAACCTAGTACATTATAAAGGTGAAAGTGACTTTATTTGTTTGTTACGCTTTCACGCCTAAACCGCCCAACCGATTTTAAAAATTCTTTCACCAATGGAAAGCTATATTATCAGCGAGTGACATAGACAATACCCGACATACACACGGTCGGTGCCGCGGGATTAATCTAGTTTTTATAAATATACATAAAAGAATTAAACAGTTCTACCTTTAAGCACTAAAACTTAAGGGGATTAAAGTCTATGACACTTTATGTCTCCTACGTCTTTTCTCAAGAACCGAAGTATCTCCATACCAAATTTAATCTGAATCGGATCAGCGGTTACTAATACCCAATACGAACTTCAACCCCCCTTGTCAAACGAACACACAGATTACCTGATGGAAAGTGACTACCGCTGCCATTGGACACCTGCAACTCAATAGACGCAAGTGCGTTCCGAGACCTGGGCCTCAATTCTGCTATTTTATGTTCACGCCAAGCCATTGTCATACCATTGACACGCTATTGAGATGCCATCGGCCAATGGCCACTCGATGGCATCTCAATAGCGTGTCAGTGGTATGACAGGGGCTTGGCGTGAACATAAAATAGCAGAATTGAGTCCCTGGTTGCTCCCCTCCCAGAATTAAGAAGAAAGAGACGGTTCTTCAGTAATCTCACTAGCCTTCCTCCTCCCTTATTAAATGTAACCAAACGACGAAAAGACAAAGTTTGTACAGTACCACATCCTAGGACGGCATTCACTAAAAGATTATTTTATTTCTTGGGTCCAGCTTTATACAACAAAATTAGTCGAAAATGTTTAATCAACAACCTATCATAACATAACTGCAAAAAGGCGTTAAATACATTTCTGCAAAATAAAACTTACCAGGAAACGGAAAAATATATTTATACGTATGACGCAAAGCATGCACGCATATACACGCGCATACACACAAACACGTGCACACCCACGCATGCACGCACCCACCCACGCTCACACACTCACACACACACACACAAATACAAGCACACTGTTTCTATTAAATAATGTATAAGTTGTATTGTAATACCTGCCACCGAAAGGGGTTAGGACTGTTACTTCCTAATATAGGTTGTTCCATGACCTAGCTAGGAAGACAGCGCTTTGAACACTGATTGTATGCACTATCTTGATTAATTTCTGTGTTAACTATTATATATTACAATTAAGTTACCTTATCTTAATTCTAGAGGGGGAGAGTACTCAAAGTATCCATGGGCCGCGGTACCCACTTTCCACCGGATGACCTATCTGCTCGTTATTCCCTTTATCACATCACATCAACAGCCTTTAGTAGTCCAGTTCTGGACATAAGCCTCTCCTTGGTAAGGAGGTTTTGGCCTTATTCCCTTTACAATCAATCAAATTGAAGATTTCAATAATTTCCTCTTTCTTTACATTTCAATCTCTAGTGCACCACATTTCAGCACCACCCTAAGGTAGACTAGGAGAAAATGCATTAAGTCCGCCATTGTACAACTCGTATGTGGGAAAAAAATATCTAAGATTTATTTGCTTACCTGAGCCACCAGTAATGAAAATAGTCTTTCCTTTATAAAACTCTGGTATAGTAGGAATACCTGACAAATCTCTTTCTTCCAGGAAACCCATGTTTTTTTTTTATTTAACTATAACAAAAAAATAATTGAAATTAAATGCAAAGCGAAAGCACAAAGGCTAAGATGTTGAATTTGTGATTAAAGGTATCAGGTTCGAACTCCACATACTACACTACGTACTAGGGAACATACCCATCCTACTTGACCCGTTGAGGGGTAGGGGTCCTCAAAATACGCTTGGTTACCATATTTTTGAATGATTAGTTTGTGAAAAGAAGAAACCCATACGAGTATTGACAGTAGTAAGTAGTAACTTCATCATCATCATCAACAGCCTTTAATAGTCCTGCTGGACATAGGCCTCTCCTTAGAAAGAAGGTTTTGGCGTACTATACCACGCTGGCCAGTAGTAACTTACTGGGTAAAAATAAAAAATATTTTATACATTAAATTAAATTGCTCATTGAATACATATGAAACGATTTGAATATAAAGAACGATGTGAGGGACCTTTGGCCCCAAGCAAGGGTGGGTTCGAATTCCACCGAGAACATGTTTTTTTTGTGATGAGCACGGTCATTTGATCTGTGTCTGGGTGTAGGTAATTTATCTATAACTAGCTGACCCGCGCAACTTCGTCTGCGTCTCTGAATAGTAATAAATTTTCTCCGTTTTTGAAACATTCTTCATTGGTGCTCCGCTCCTATTGGTCTTAGCGTGATGATATATAGCCTATAGCCTTCCTCGATAAATGGGCTATCTAACACTGAAAGAATTTTTCAAATCGGACCCGTAGTTCCTGAGATTAGCGCGTTCAAACAAACAAACAAACTCTTCAGCTTTATAATATTAGTATAGATATGTGTGTATTTAGAAATATATATGTGTTTATTAGCAGTCTGGTTACCATAGTACAGGCATTGCTTAGTTTGAGATCAGACGGCCGTATGTGAGATGTGTAAAGGTATCATTATTAATTGTTGGAACGAAGTTATATATCCCCCGTAACAAGCTCTGAGCGGATGGGAGCGAGACCGAAAAGTTTGTAACAAGACTTTTTTTCGACACTAAGTTTAAAGCAGACTGTATAGCAAACGTCTACCAAAAAACATTTTTTTTTAATCTTCTTGCTATAGTACGCTTAGATCTTTTAAACTAAGCAACGAATTTTAATGCCGTTTTCACCAATAGAGAGAGTGATTCAAGGTGAAAGTTTATAATGTAAAAAACCAACATTTTATAGTAGAGAAAATCCGAGAATTCATTTTTATCGCAAACGCTGGCTACACCTTAGGAGATGGACCAAAATAATGTACTAAGGAATTGTGTATCTCAAGGTCTACAAGGAAAGTCCGCGATGGTATATGTCTATCTACTAAGGATAAAAAAGAGTAACCATTTTTATCTTTTCAATATTACAAATGAAAATGGGTTACTTAATAAGCTATTTTAATCAGTACATTATTATTCCTTATTCAATAAAATACGTTATATACGTTGTGCATTTGATGTAGATTAAAATTTCTCTATACAGCATATGATTAAAGGAATATTTTAGAAGATATTAGAGGTTTAAAATGCGGGGCCAAAGCGGCCGTCGTTCCAAGGGGGTCCATACGCCCCTCACGTAGCTTTTAAAGTTTCTTTAATGATCGTTTTTTAATTCCTGACTTTAGGTCTCTTTTTCAAAATCAACAGTAAAAAACGGAAACCTTGTAAATAAAGTTGTCCGGCTTATCAGTCAGGTAAATTAGGGTTCTAATCCCAGGTATAGGTTCTATTCCCACTCGGGACAAAATTGTGTGATGAGCACGATCTTTTGATCTGTGCGTGGGTGTAATTTATCTATAATATGTATGTATTTAGAAATATATAAGTATGTTTATCAGTAGTCTGGTTACCATAGAACAGGATCTGCCTAGTTTGGGATCAGACGGCCCCGTGTGAGATGTGTGAAGTTATTATTATTATGAAATAAAAATAAACAAAATAACTAACCTGTACTTTCACACTACTTTCTCTGTAGAGTACCAAGACTTGAACTGAACTAAAAGTGACAATGCTCGCATAAGTTTCACTGTTTGATAAAACAATTATTAAGTTACTAAGAATACGTAAGCGTTTTAACCTATATGTTAAAGGTCGTTTTAATTAAATTCTATTCAATGTTTAAACTAAGCATGTTGTACAGCGTGTTGTAGAAAGAAAACATTTAAAAGCATTTTGTGTAGCCGATTAAAAAAAAATGTAATTTGTAAAAGTTAAGAAATCTGTATTATTATGATAGAGTAGATACGTAGGTCACTGTATAAGTTTTGAAAGATTTGAAATTTGAAAATGGAATGCATCTGTCATATATTATTAAAATCGAACACAAAAAATTTATACCAAAAAAAAACTTAGGTGTTACTTTTTATTTCACAGATTAGGAGATATGTATAATACATAGTTTTTTAGTATTTTATTATTTTTTTATTTTATAGTTTTTTTTCCTTTTTCCTGCGGGAAATCCCCTCGGATACCACCTATCGGTAGCATGTCGGACTCAAACCGAATAAAACCGCACGCCGTCTCGGGTACTAATAGCCGGGGAACCAGGTATACCCTAGAAAGGAAGTCCCTGGTGCCCCGACATACCTCTACTCCCTGAAAGCGAGCGCGCTTCGCAACGTGCTAGGTGACAGATGGCCTCACCTGTCACCCCCAGGCCTGCGCTTATGGAGGACGGAGGTCATTCTGCGACCTCCGGCGCCTAAGTCGCCTGCGGTACAGATAAGACACCTCCTGAAAAAACGTCATTTCATATGAGTTTGAGTCTTTATGACGATGATCCGGTAGGGGCGCTGTTGAGCTGAACGTAGGCACATTTTACACTACTTGTTAGACGCATCCATTTTGATTTCACACCTGAAACTTAAAGGTTAAAGGGTTATTATTGTCCAAAATTCTTTCGATACTGCTTTAGGCTATCTCAAAGTTTTAAACTGCTCAATAGCACATTTTTGTACTATAATATGGCTTCGGAAACATCACAAAGGTTTCAGTTGTACTCTTGCCTGTATGTATATATGTATCAAATATACAGTCATGTAGTATTTATAGTATTAGTAGTGTAGTACTTTTGACACACAGAAGAAACTGCCTAGTTCAAAATCTGCCTTAATACTAAAAAGGTCCGTGTGGTGACGGATTAAGAATACAGAGTGTCACCACCCCTATTCATCCCGTGGGTGTCGTAAGAGGCAACTAAGGGAGCAAATCACGCAGGTCAACAGCACTGCAGAGAGAAGGAAAACTTGACACAAACCCTTTTTTTTCTTTTTTTTTTTTTACGTGTGGAAATCCTCTCGGACCGTCACCGGTGGTGTGTCGGACTCGGACCGACTAAAACCACACGGTGTGCCACTCTGCGCCTGTAACAGGAGGGATCCGGGAACAGCTGTTGTTAAGACATCCGGACCCCTCCTAGCGCCAGCCCGCTCCTGGTGCGGGCTCCGTCTCAATATTTTTTCCTCTCTTTAGGAGACGTCCGGCACACGCGGACGCCGCCCCCTCGCGGCTGGCTAAACTAATGCGGGTGGAGGGGAAACCCACCCCGTCCACCCGCGGCCACACTCAGGGCGGCATGAGGCGGTGATAGGCGGGCCTCAGCCGCCCAGCTCGCCGGCGGCGGATCGGGTCCGAGTGGAGGTCGTCCTCCCGGGCCCTCTCCGCCGCCTCCTTCCGCAAGATTACTACCTCGCAGAAGGTTGCGACCGCGGTAAAATAACTGTCGCTACCGGCCATGGAGCGTACTACGGCCGGTAGCGAGAGATCCACTCCGATGACTGCAGTGAGGGCCCGGCGCTGCGCCGCCCATGAGGGGCAAACCGCCAGCGTGTGCTGGGCCGAGTCCTCACTGCAGTCGCAGTGGTGGCAGGCGGGACTCAGTTCCCTCCTAGCGACCGAGTGCAGGTACTTTCCGAAGCAACCGTGCCCGGAAAGCACCTGCGTCAGCCGGAAAGAAAGGGTCCCGTGCTGCCGCCCTGCCCACTCGGCGATGACCGGCTGGAGAGCCTCCACGGCGGCGAAGCCAGCGCGTGGAGTCTCCAGCCGGAACGACCAACGAGCCATCGTGGCTCGGCGAGCGGCTTCGCGCCACTCGCGCACATCCTCGGGCGGAGGGCGAAATCCGCTCTCCGCCCGGGAGTCAGCCATTCGCCGATAAACTTCGGCGACCACTTCCGCCTCCAAATCCCACGGGGGAGTTCCGGCCAACGCGCATGCCACCTCCGTCGAAACGGTGCGGTAACCGCGTATGGCTCTGACCACCATTACCCTCTGAGGGCGCCAGAGGCGTGCCCTATTCTGGGCGGTCAGAGCCGCCGCCCACACCGGTGCACCGTACAGTGCCATTGACCGGACAACCCCCGTGTACAGCCGTCTTGTCGCGACGCTGGGTCCACCCATATTGGGCAAAAGTCGCCCTAGGGCAGACGCAGCGCCGACCAGCTTTGGAGCAAGCTGTCGGAAGTGCTCGTCGAAGAGCCACCTCCCGTCGAGGATCAGGCCCAGATATTTCATCTGGGCCCGAACCGGTACGAGGACCGAGTTGACCACGATTGAGGCGCCAGGGGGTGGACCACGACGGGGCCCATGAAATAACAGGGCCTCCGTCTTATCTAGGGCCACCCGTAAGCCCAGCGCCTCTATGCGCCCGACCACCAGGGAGACTCCCCCTGTGGCCAGGCGCGCCGCCTCTTGGAAGTTTGCCCCCCGGGCTGTCACCAGGGTATCGTCTGCGTAAACCCTATAGCAACCCGTCTGGCCAGCGTGGTATAGTAGGCCAAAACCTCCTTTCTAAGGAGAGGCCTATGTTCAGCAGTGGACTATTAAAGGCTGTTGATGACTAAACAAAGTTTTTATACTTAATAGATAACAAAGCATGTGATTCTAAAAACAAGTAAATTTATCTTAACTCTTGTTTTAATATTTTAATTGAATGTTGAGGGGAAGGCTTCAATTTGATCAACTGAGCCAAACATTTCATGTGTTTCAAGTATGGGAACTGAT